AGAGAGAGAGAGAGAGAGTCGAGTCGAGAGATGGTAGCTGCCTCCACGCGTTGGGTGTCCGTCCTATCTTTTATTTTTCGACCTCTTATCCTGCTTCTTCTTTGTCGTGTTCTACTTTGTTCTGCGCTAACTTTTTTATTATTTCATTTTTGTGCCGCTAACTCGTTCACTCCCTGCTCCTCGGCCTTCTCTCTCTCTTTCTCTTACGTTTGTGCTTTTATACGCGTCGCACAGACTCATCTCCCTTAGACTTTTTTTTTTCTCTCCGCGCAGATTCATTCAGTCTTGGACTCTCAGCTCTTTGATGCAATTGTCATAGCGACGATTCTTACTCCGTTCCTCGGGATCATGTGGTTTGAGCTTCCACTGAATTATTAATGGCTAACGCTTAATGCCTTGAACGTGCGGCTAATGTTTCGTATATTTTAAGAGGCTTTCCGGAGCTGCCACGATTGCCGAGCGTAACGACATTAGCGTTTCGCTCGAGAACACCGTATGAAAAGATGAAAAAAAGAAGGGAAAAGAAAAAAAAGGTAAAATAGAAAAAAAGACGCACTTACGATGGCCTAGAAAATTGAAAATTCGTAGCCGAAAAAATCAACGCCACGAGGATGGCATAAATTTTCGTCAAAAAAGCTCGACGCGACTCGAGTACTGCGCGCGTTACGCCCGTACAGCCGATAAGTGTCGCGTACAGCACAGAGAGAGCGAGCGTCGACCTTTTTTTCCGCGTTACGTCGAGCGACGAGCGAGAGATTTATAATCGAGCCAGTTGTTTGTCTCCGCGATAAGAATTCACACGGCTTGGTCGGACGACTCGTTGTTTTCTTTTGTCAGCTGCAGCTTGTCATCGGCCACGATCCGCGCACTGATTATCGCGGCCTGCATACCGCGCGATCTATATACGTATATATAGCCGAGCCTCGAGCCAAGCGAATTGCGAGACACAGCGTCGCTTCGCTTAACATATGTCTGGTGCGCGCGGCGGAGATTTATCAAGCTCCTTATAGCGCCTCTCTTTTATAGCTTTTGCCGCTCGTGTAGCGCGCGAGGCGAGCTTTATACACGAGCGTAGCCAGCTAGTGCAGCACGGGGCCACCGATGCCGCTATCGGAAAATGGCTTACACTTGGCTTGCGCTCGAGCGAGGCCGCACTGCTACAAGCCGCGCATACACGTAGTAGCATATACGCGGGTGGCAGCCTTTTTTCGGCTTCATAAATTTTTTCCAATGCCTCTTCTGCTTCTGGCTAGCGGCGCTGCACCCACACCCTCTTTACCGGTGGCCCTGCTGCGCCTCTCGAATATGCTCATGATTTTTTCTCCTTCCCCTTAATACATAATCTGGCAGATTGTAGCGAGATGCATTTTAATTAGTCGCGGCGGACGGTCGTCGGCGGCGGCAAAACGGCGTGGTGGCTCTGTATATTATACAGTCGACGCGCGCGCCGCAGCTCGACTCTCTCGCATTCTATTTCACTTTTATAACTCCTATCAACTTGCTATCTCTATCTCTCGTTTCTCCTCCTTCTTCGTCCTAGCCCTCCTTTTCCTAACCACATTGCGCGCCATTAGGATCGAGATTACTCTTCTCGTTCTCTCTCTCTCTCTCTCTCTCTCGACTAATTATTTTAATTACGTCGCTTGGCGTTCTCGAGTTTTTTCTTTCTATGCGCTGCACGGCGTAGTAGTGGCGACGGCATGATGCACCTTGGTGGTGGCGGTAGCGGCGTCGTCGTCGGGCGTGTCCCACAAGTAGATTTATACATCGTGAAACTGTTTTTATTTAACGAGAGCGATGAGGTGGGCTAAATTCAGGATATCTAATTTGAATAATTGTCCGCTGCTCAAGGCTTTTCATCCGGCGGTCTCGAGCCGGGGACACGGGTCTAAACTATACCGTCTCCAAGGTGCCGCCTGCTGCTCTTTTGACCTTCGTTTGCATCGGCAATCAGCGAAGCCATTCGCGTAGCTGCGACTCGTAAATTCGGCAAAACAACAGCATCCGCGCTTATACTAACGCACACAAGCAGTCGGTATATATACTGTAAAAAGGATATAAAATAAACACTTTAATATAGAGCGAAAAGGAGAACGTTCGCAAGTGCACGAGATTCGCGTCGAGAAATACCAAACGAGTGGAAAACATAAGAATTTCATTTTCCTACCCATCGCCTCAGTTAGGAATGAAACTTTTTCTCGATTGGAAAATAATAAAATAACGTATTACGTACGTATACGCTCGCGTAAATGAGAGAACGTGAGTAGCCATGCAAGGCGTATGAAAAATTTAGAGCAGCCAGTTGGGAATGAGAATGGGGAACTTTCGGTATCGAGCGAGCCGTATACGGAGGTAAAAATAAAAAAGAAAAGTAGGAGAGAGAGGAACGCAACGTCCGCCGGGGCCGCCGGGGAGTAGGAGTCAAGGAAGAAACACGAAAACGAAGATAGTATTCTTCCTTGTGGCCAATAGAAAGAAGGACTAACCTCCCTGCGAGGTTAATTAGAGCCGTAAACTACGGGGAAAAAGCGCCGAGCGACCCGGAGAACGACGAAAAAAGGGCGTTCAAGAGAAAAATAGAACGAGAGAGAAAGGGAGAGAGAGAGAGAAAGAATCAGGCGAATAAAAGGAAAGGGGAAAAAAAGGCTCGCGACCGATCCGCGCGTATAAAAATCGAGCTAAAAAAAGATAACGACTATCTTTCGTTGTACAGAATTCAATGCGATGCACGATTCATTGTTGCAGTTTCATAGCACCCCTTCTTGCTACAGTGCACGGTATACTTCTTGAGAGTTGTGGTTAAAGTATTATTTTTGGTTAGTAAATATTGGATCTCCCTGGGAGAGAGAGGAATAAACGAGGTAAAATCGAATATTGGTTAAAGCTTATATAAATACCTTCTTTTTGAGCTTCTGGGTTTGTTGCGCCGTTTCTAAACGAATGTACACACCTGCCTAGCTGTAAATTTTTTATTGAAGCCAGCGCAAGAACTAACCCGTAAAATTACATCTGCCCAGCCGACCATGGAGTATAGAATAACAAAGTCAATATTATATCGAGATTTGAATATTCAACGACGAGCCCTAGTGTTTGTATTGAGCTCTAGTGGGGTTGCCTGCCGAGAATTGGTTTGGACTATGGCAACTCGCTCTCAGCTATCTTCGTTGAGATAAATATAAAAAAAAATTTCTTTTCATGCCGCAAAATTATGAATTTTATGATAGTTTTTATTACGGAGTCGAAGTATATATTCTCGTCTGTTTCCAGAAGATTTCTTTTTTCACCGAATTAATAAAACTCGGTAGTTCCGAGTGCCCGCGCGCATATTGTTTGAACAGTCGCATTTTTCTATTCCAGCTGTAGCATTCTCGTTTGAGAAATATCGTCTCAAAGTCATCTCGCAACATTTGCTGCCACGCCAACAAAGCGAAAAAGAAAATGAAAAAATGAAAAAAAAAATAAATAAAATAAAAATGATCACAGAGGAAAGGGAGAGCTCTCTTTGAGTTATATTTCGTGTATTAATTTTTTTTTCCTCTCCGAAGAGTACCAATCGTGGACAATGATAGACGATGTGTAAAAATGAAAAAGGCAGCAGCACGAGTAGCAGGGCCAGCTATTTGTAGAGCTGTTCACTTGACTCGTAATAATAACGAACGCCCCCGCACACATACACACATACACACACGCACACGAACAGACATGAACTGGCAGCTGGCAGCCAGCAGTACATTCGAATAGCAGCAGTAGCAGCAGTAGCACGAGGCAGAAGAAATTATACAGCTATTATATCACAGCCTTGAAATCTCATGGGAGCGCAGCAGCGGACGAGAGAGAGAGAGAGAGAGAGAGAGAGAGTGAGAGAGAGAGACTCGTTGCCTTTGGCAGAGCTCGCGCGCGGAAGGGAAAAAGCTCGCGCGAGAAGTAGCGAGGGTGAAAATGTAGTACTCTGCGAGAAGTTAATTGCGGTATTTCAGCAAGGTGCTAGGGCTGCAATTATTATTTCTCGCGCGCCGCGTTTTCTCCTCTGTCTCTCTCTCTCTCTTCTCTCCTCCCTTACACACTCGCTCGCGCCTTTCATTCTTTCTCACGCCTCTTGCAACTATACATTTCCTGACGTATGCATAAAGAATCATTATATTATCTGCATGCGTTGAGTCAAGAGTGTATTATTCAATGTTGAGGGAATGGCCCCGAGATTACACAAGTTCACTCCTGTGGGCGTGAGAGTTTGTATGTGTGTATGCATGTTGGTATACAAGCCACAAAGAGAGAAAGAGCAAGAAGCAGAGAGAAATAGCCCGGACAGACAGTGCGAAAGTGATGAAGGAGATCCCCGCCTGGAATATACATAAAGTTTCTTAGCTGCAGGTGCATGTATATGTATATTCAAGTATAAAGAGCTTTCGCAGCTCAGGTAATCTCCATCGAAGAGCAGAAGCAGAAGCAGAGGGAGAGGCAGAGAGAGAGAGAGAGAGAGAGAGAGAAAGTCAGACAAGATTCGTCCGACCCCTGGAGGCAATTACGAATGTCGTAATAAGAGCTTTTCAAGTAATTTTACTCAATTATCCTTTTTCCACTTGGCTTTGCTCGTAAATATATACACCTATATAAAAGACCTCAATATTGTCGAATAATCGGAGCTTGAAATTGTCCTTAGCCCCATTGTTCGAAGCCCGAGCGACGCACGCGCAATTTGCTTAATTGTAATTGAATTATGGAATCGGGGAAAAAAGTCGGTAGTGAGTAATTTGTTATTGAATGTCGATAACACGATATTGATTGCCTCTCTCGCAGGCTGATTGTAAAGATAAGTCCGAAGAGGAAAAGATTAATTCTTTATAATTAACAAAGACGAATGAATCCACTATCTGCGAGATAATGCGATCGAAAAGGCCAAAGGAGACGTTGTAAATTCGATATCGTGCGCGGAATTGCCGCGGATCGAATTTTTAACGTTTGACAATTTTCGATCGTGCCGCTCGATAAAAGGGGCTCAATGCCGTTGTCATCGCGCCTGTTGCTCGCGGTGCAGTGTTTTCATCGGCTGCAGCCCGAGCGTTTGCAAGTGCACGAAAGAGACGACGAGTAAGGAGGCGAAAAAATTGCCATTGTGCGATATCGTGTTCTCGCTGCTTGCGGCGTGCGCGCGCGCCCGTGCCCTGACACGATGAAAAGTGTCGCAATTTCCTTGCTATTTTTGGCAAGCTTCGGCCGGGAGGTTCTCCCTTGCCAAGTGCAGCCGCCCAAGCAAGATCTCGACTGGTGGAAGACGAGCGTGCTTTATCAGATTTATCCGCGCAGTTTCAAGGACAGTGACGGCAACGGTATTGGCGATCTGAAAGGGATCACGAGCAAGCTCCAGCATATCAAGGACATCGGGGCCGACGCGCTCTGGCTGTCGCCGATATTTACAAGCCCTCAAAAAGACATGGGCTACGACATCTCCAACTTCACGAACATCGATCCGACTTTCGGTACCCTGGCCGATTTCGACCAACTGATGGCCACCGCTAAGCGGCTCAAGCTCAAAGTATTGCTCGATTTCGTACCGAATCACAGCTCCGATGAGCACGAGTGGTTCCAAAAAAGTGTCAAAGGTATCAAGCCTTACGATGATTACTATATCTGGAAAAATGGAATCAATGTCAATGGCGTGATGCACCCACCGAACAATTGGCTCTCGGTCTTCGGTGGTTCGGCCTGGACTTGGAACGAGCAACGTCGACAATATTATTATCACGCTTTTCTCGCGGAACAACCCGACTTGAACTATCACAATGCTAATTTAAAAAAAGAAATGGAAAATGTCATATCGTTCTGGATGCAGCGGGGTGTGGACGGATTCAGGGTTGACGCCGTCAACCACATGTTCGAGGATACGCTGCTGCGCGACGAGCCTCCGTCGTCCAACGCAGCTAGTCTGCCCAGCGATGATTACGAGTCTTTGAGTCACGTTTACACGCGCGACTTGGATGGCACGTACGAAGTCGTCGATTCTTGGCAAAAATTGATGGATAACTACGTGAAAACTCACAGAACCGACGGAAAATTCATGATTCTCGAAGTTTACTCGACGGTCGAAAGGGCCATGAAGTATTACACCGTAGGAGCGAATCCCTTCAACTTCATGTTCATTGCTAGCTTGAACAACGGCTCGAAGGCAGTGGACTTCAAAAACACCATTGACAATTGGTTGAAAGAAATACCCACGGGTAAAGTAGCCAACTGGGTCGTTGGAAATCACGACAATCATCGAGCCTCGACCAGATACGGCGAGTACGGTCGCTCCGACCAGACGACCATGCTGTGCTCCGTCTTGCCCGGTATCACGGTCGTCTACAACGGGGACGAGATCGGCATGCGCGACAGACCGTTCACTTACCAGGAGACTGTCGATCCTTCGGGCTGCAACGCAGGTCCGAATCGATACCAGGTCAAATCGAGGGATCCCGAGAGAACACCCTTCCAGTGGGACGGCACCACAAGTGCCGGTTTTTCCAGTAATCCCAACACTTGGTTGCCCGTGCACCCCAACTACAAGCAGCTCAATCTTCAATTGCAAACGGCACCGCTGCTCGTGTCTCACTACAACGTTTTCAAAAATCTCACGGCGCTGAAAAAGCAGCCAGTTTTGCAGAAAGGTACGGTGGAGTTGTTGCTGGTGACCGACCAAGTGCTTGCTGTAGTGAGGCGGCTTCAAGGCCAACAGAGCGTAGTTTTGCTAATCAATTTCAATAACGATCGAGATTTTATTTTGGATCTCACTGAAAGCATTAAACCTGTTTCTACCGAGCTCAAAGTTTATACAGCTAGTGTCGAGTCACAAATCATACCTGGCACCATCTTTAAAGCGAACAATTTACATATTCCTAAAGCCGCTTCCCTTATTTTGCTTTCCAGCAATTAATGCCTATCATGGCGAACGTAGTTATATAATAAATTGTAGCTACAAAAAATGTAGAGGCTAGTTTATGCTATGAAAATTATTGTGATTCCATTTAGTTAGAATAATAGCTCAAATACAAGTAAATGATAAACTAAAATAAAATAATTATAATTAGCTCATCGATTATGAGATAAAACTATTCCTTAGTACTTAAAAAACCAAGAAAATTGTGAAAATGTTATTGGAATAAAATAGATATCAATCTTATTTAACTGTATCAATAACTTTCAATATAAGAAACCTATCCTTTTTTTAATAATTTTATATGAGTAATTGCATTACTAAACTAACTCCATATCTTCGAAGAATGTTTTATTCTTCATCCCATGCTCGAAAGTACGTCCTTTCACCTTCGAATTCGGGGACGAAAGTAATACTTTTGCTCCCCGTCAATATCGCGTGAAAGTTACTATCTCCATGACTACGGCAACCTACATTTCAATTATCGTTTGGTTTCGACTATGCAATAGATGAATTATATTGATTTAGTTTATGACGTACATATGCCAGATTGAATAAATATTAAAAGACTAACAATTCTATGAAGTATCAAAATTGAACAGCCATAATTTGACGTACACATTTCATTACATTCAATTCCAATCCGAAATTTAAATCGTTAAAGATGGTAGTTGGAATAAAAAATGAGATGTAAGAGAACAAAGACAGTCAAAATATGTTAATTTTTATAATATATTTTGAAAAATTCTTTCAACTTTAAACGTTATTCTAGGTCACTCAAGTTTCTACTCGTCTACCTCAGATTGAGTGAATTACTTAATTGAAATTTTCATAATTTTACAAAATAAATGTTTAATTGAATACAACTTCAAATCGGAACAAGAAGAAAACATACGGTACTAATTCATGCTTATACTTTACGGGATCGTTTGTATTTTATTAATGCCATACTTATCTATGATTTACAATTATTTATTAATAATTTAAGTTATGTACTAATAAATATTATTATTGATGGTATTTTTTGCAAAGCCCGCCGTCGACCAGCAGCCCTCGCTGCGCTCGGGCCGCAAATGTCGGCGGGCTTTGCCATGTAAGCGTAAATTCATGGATACAATTTTTTTTAATAAAATATTTCTTAACTATGTTAAGCAAACGTACTTTCGAGCGGGGATAAAGAAAAATCGTATACGCGACTCGGGACAAAAGTCAAACGCCCGTCTCTGCGAGCTTGCACCCTCGGCTTCGCCTCGGGTGCATAACCTCGCAGGGACGGAAGTTCGACTTTCGTCCCTTGTCACGTAATATACTTTTTCTTCATCCCATGCTCGAAAGTACGTACTTTCACCTTCGAATTCAGGGACGAAAGTAATACTTTTGCTCCCCGTCAATATCGCGCGAAAGTTATTATCTCCATGACTACGGCAACCTACATTTCAATTATCGTTTGGTTTCGACTATGCAATACATGAATTATATTGATTTAGTTTATGACGTACACATGCCAGATTAAATAAATATTAAAAGACTAAAAATTCTGAAGTATCAAAATTGAACAGCCATAATTTGACGTACACATTTCATTACATTCAATTCCAATCCGAAATTTAAATCGTTAAAGATGGTAGTTGTAATAAAAATTGTGATGTAAGAGAACAAAGACAGTCAAAATATGTTAATTTTTATAATATATTTTGAAAAATTCTTTCAACTTTGAACGTTATTCTAGGTTACTCAAGTTTCTACTCGTCTACCTCAGATTGAGTGAATTACTTAATTGAAATTTTCATAATTTTACAAAATAAATCTGTAATTGAATACAACTTCAAATCGGAACAAGTAGAAAACATACGGTACTAATTCATGCTTATACTTTACGGGATCGTTTGTATTTTATTAATGCCATACTTATCTATGATTTACAATTATTTATTAATAATTTAAGTTATGTACTAATAAACATTATTATTGATGGTATTTTTTGCAAAGCCCGCCGTCGACCAGCAGCCCTCGCTGCGCTCGGGCCGCAAATATCGGCGGGCTTTGCCATGTAAGCGTAAATTCATGGATACAATTTTTTTTAATAAAATATTTCTTAATTATGTTAAGCAAATGTACTTTCGAGCGGAGATAAAGAGAAATCGTATACGCGACTCGGGACTAAAGTCAAACGTCCGTCTCTGCGAGCTTGCACCCGAGGCGAAGCCGAGGGTGCATAACCTCGCAGGGACGGAAGTTCGACTTTCGTCGCTCGTCACGTAATATACTATTTATTTGTGTATAAAGCTTATTAAATTTGAAGTTTTCGAACAAAAATTTTCATATTTAAAATTTTAATCATTTAAGAATAATGTTACATATAATGATTTCAGCTGAAGATCTAGCAGTTAATTTGAAAGAGAAATTTTTATTTAAAAAATTTCATATTTAGAGAATGTGTTTTTCAATGATTTAATCAATCATATAATAATTGTCCTTAAAAGACATTTAAATGTTGTACACTATGAAAGCAAACCCTTCCAATGTGACGTTTATCTCGAATCATTTGGATACAAGAATAACCTCGAAGTACACATTATGACAGTACATCGTAGATGTATGATCAGTCGATTGTAATAAACCGTAGTGTGAGATTTTTCAAAAATCATTTGGATACCAAAATAAACTTAAATCTCACATACTTATGGTTAATAATTATAAAAAACTTTAGAAATGTGAAATTTTTCTAGAGAAATTTCGTCGTAATGAAGACAATCACATTTTGGAAATCTTTCACATACATATCCTCTAATTTTTTATTGATTAATAAAGTATTTAAAATTCTTATCTACTATAAAATTCTTTTACCTACTTTTCTTACAATAATCTTTCTCAACTACCTACTTCCTATCAGTATGGTGGCAGATAATCCTTGCCTTAAAACATGAATTATTCCTGAAATTCGAAAACCGACTCCACACTTGATTTTCTGAACGTACACGGTACACGAGGTAACGGTAAAAGTTTGATAAAAAAATTTGAAAATAAAATCTCGATAACAGTAAAAGATTGAACAACTGCAATCGTCGCTAAAAAAAACTCAGAGAATCTTAAAAATTCAGCCTACTCGATGCAAAGTATATTCATATAACTAATGATATATCATATAACTAATAATTGAAAGACATTGTTTCGTAATAATCGCTCGACTTCGATTAATTATTACTGTGTGTTACTATTGTGTAATAATTGGTCCTTGTTAGCGATTTGCAAAAGTCGTTATGGTTAGTAAGTAGCTTATTTTTTTTTTAATTCCTTCACAAAACTAGAAGAAAGCATTTCAGATTTTACAATGAATCTTCATTTTGAATATGAGTTCAAATATTATAGAGTTACATAAACTCTACCAAAAACTGTAATTAAAACTTGATTCAATCAAGTAAAATTATTTTTCAAACAACTTTTGATAAAATTTGCACAATATATAGGCAACCTTTCAATGCATAGAAGAAAGTTTTAAACAAAGGAATACCAATAACTTGAAATAGTTGTGCAATAAAAAGTAAATATTATAATTCATTTTTAGAATTGATTGATAAATAACCGTTCGTTTTTTAAAAATTCACTTATCTTAATTGTCATTATTATTGGCAGTATCTTGAATCTAATCATAAATATATCTTATAAATATTGTAGATAAGTGATAAACGTTTAATTTTTTACTAATGTCACATGTCCGGAAGTGTGGCAAGTGTTATTGGGATCTATCGATAAAATACGTTTCATAAGTCATCAGTTTCATTTCGTATGATATAAGAAGACTCAATAGTCTTATAAGCCTATCATAATAATGAGGGCAATAGTAGTGATAGTGAATTTATTTATAATCCAGTTTGTGACACTAACTTTGGCGGCTACGCCTGAGTCGTCATGGTGGAAAAATATTCTTGTCTATCAAATTTATCCAAGGAGTTTCATGGACAGTGATGGTGACGGGATTGGTGACCTCAACGGCATTACCAGTAGATTAGAGCATATTCGTGAAACCGGTGCCACAGCCTTTTGGCTTTCTCCTATTTATCGAAGTCCTCAAAAAGATTTTGGCTATGATATTTCCGATTTCACTGCTATTGACCCACAATTTGGTACCATCGATGATTTTAGAGCACTTGTTCGACGAGCTAAATCTCTTGGATTAAGAGTTTTAATGGATCTAGTGCCTAACCACAGTTCAGATCAACATGAATGGTTTAAAAAAAGTGTAAAGGGGATCAAGCCTTACGATGATTATTACATCTGGCGAGACGGTAAAATCGTTAACGGAGTAAGATCACCTCCTAACAATTGGATTTCAATTTTCGGTGGACCCGCATGGACATGGAACGAAGAAAGAGGCAAGTACTATTATCATCAATTTGTCGCTGAACAACCTGATCTCAACTATCGAAATCCTGGATTAAGGAATGACATGAAAAACGTTTTACGTTTTTGGCTCGAGCAAGGCATCGATGGTTTTCGTATCGATGCTATCATTCATCTATTTGAAGACGAAAAATTACGAGATGAGCCACTTTCTCGTCGACCTGGATTCAACTCTGATGAATATGAGTATTTAGATCATATCTATACTCATGATCTTGATGAAATGTACGATGTGGTAGATGAGTGGCGTCAACTTATGGACGATTTTTCTCGACGGAATAAGTCTGCAACTAAATATGCTATAGTTGAGGGTACAAGCCTGAAGTTTTTCGACCATGGCGTAGACCCATTCAATTTTATGATCACCGGGGAGTTTAACAAGAATACTAACCCAGAGTATTGTGCAAGGCGCATAAATGAATACTTGAGCCAGATACCATATGGTAATATGCCAAATTGGGTTGTAGGTAATCATGATGGATCTCGAGTAGCATCGCGTTTCGGCAGGGCTGATCATATGAGCATGTTGGCTTTGATGCTACCAGGACTCACGGTTATTTATAACGGAGATGAAATTGGCATGGTCGATCGACCCTTGAGCTGGGAGGAAACCGTCGATCCAGCGGGATGTAACGCAGGCCCAGAAAAATACAATCAACGATCTCGCGACCCTGCCCGTACCCCTTTCCAGTGGGATAACACTACAAATGCTGGATTTTCCTTTGGCCGCAAGACATGGTTGCCAGTTCATGAAAACTACCATCATCTTAACCTTTTGGATCAACAGCAAGCTCCGATTTCACATTTCAAGACTTTTAAACGCATGATAAGGCTAAAACAATCTGAATTGGTGCAAACGGGATCTACTGAAATAAGTACAAGTGATGACGGACGAGTACTGGGACTCGTGCGAAGGTTACCACATCGATCGCCACTGGCTTTGTTGATTAATTTTTCTGAAGATACTATTATCCTGAATCTTATGAAGTGGATGCATTTACCGGAAAGATTAAATATATATGCTGCCAGTGTAGAATCGAACTTCCGCGTTGGAGCCATGGTACGACCGGGTAATTTTCTATTACCTGCTGCAGCCTCCGTAGTACTTGCTGGAGATGATCTAGACATCTAAATTTTTTTTGTTGTAATATGACTCAACCCAAAAGTTAATATTAGTGTGTAACGATAAAAATGAAATAAGTTATAAATTACTGTATATTATAAGAAAGAACTAAATATAAAATTTTTATCAAGTTATTTTTCTAATTTAATAATCATTTTACAAAGTAAGGCTTTTATCTTATACAATACAGCAACGTGATTAAAAATAGCGATACTCGACATCTATCCAACTTAGTTAAAACTTTAGTTAAACAATTTATCCTCTATATTGTTTTGAGCAGAATTCTCTAAAACATTTTTCGATATTGCTTGGCAACGTGTAGCCGAGAGCTTTGTTTTATCTACTAACGGATGGTTCTAAAAAATCGGCGTCACTTGGAATTTTCATGTCACCTATAGTACGTCGATGTTTTACACTTAAAGCACGATCTCTCAAAATATCTTTCCGTGGCTTCATTTCCTTATTATCACAATATGTACAAATTACAATCGACGGATTTGAATCACTATATGCAATCCATTTTTTGAATGCTGGTACATTCAACCAAGATAGCTTAAATTTTCTTTGGGGAGTTTTGATTATCTTTTTGGAGAAAAAACTCATATTGGATGTATTTAAAATTTTGTAAAAAAGAAACTTATAGTTAGTTAAAACTGTAAATCCTTGCGTCAAAGTTGCAAAGAATATTTTTATTACGTATCTAAAGCCTATCTTATAATGAATTATGCAATACTATAATGAATAAACATTGAATTATATTACGCTTAAAAAGTCATTCGTTATATTGGGTAAATATAGTATATCTAATCAAATGAATAACTGATTGCATAATTATAGTTTAGTCATTCTATTAAAAACAAAATTATTTTATCGATTATTTGCATTGACCTGTATTGAATTTCAAATTGACTCCAATTACTTTTACATCGTTATATACGGTACGTTTATTTACATCTATTGCCTCAATATTTTATAAAATTTTCAAAATAGTGAAATTGTATTCAGATTTTTACAAATTTTTGAAATAAATCTATAAAAATTATATATCAGTAAGGAACTTGTTGATTATCTTATGAGATTGAAAAGTTGATTAAGTTTATTGAAAAAAACTAAATAAATAAATAAATTAAAAACGTGCTGACTGTCGACCATCTGTTTTCTATCTTGTGACCTACTACAATCATATAAATCTGCTACATCCTGCAGGCAGAGATTTGATGTAGATAATTATATAAAATTACACAGTGATTCGCTTGTTTTTTGCAAAGGTAAAGCAGTGTGACAAAAAGCTGTCTATGCAGACTCATTCATAAAAATATTAGCATCCGCATGTTTATTTATAAAAGTTATTATTCTCGAGGTTTACAAGTACGCGTAAGCAAGTATTATTTCCGATAAGATAAAGAGCGTGACAATGGTCAACAATTCATTATAAATTATGAGAGTAACTAGAAAATATCGCAGTTAAAACAATACTATGAGGTTCACACTATCATCAGTGGTCCTCTGCTTCGTAATAGTGGCCGTAACGGTCACTGCCGTAGAGCTTCCTGATAATCCATGGTGGAAGAACATTCTTATCTATCAAGTTTATCCGAGAAGTTTCATGGACAGCGATGGCGATGGAATTGGTGATCTGAATGGCATTACCAGTAGATTAGAACATATTCGTGAAACCGGAGCTACAGCCTTTTGGCTCTCTCCTATTAATAAGAGTCCTCAAAAAGATTTTGGCTATGATATTTCTGACTTTACTGCTATTGACCCGCAATTTGGTACAATTGACGATTTCAGAGCGTTAATGAAACGAGCCAAATCCCTCGGGTTAAAAGTTTTAATGGATCTAGTGCCGAATCACAGTTCAGACCAACATGAATGGTTTAAAAAAAGTGTGAGGCGCGTCAAACCTTATGACGATTACTACATCTGGCGAGACGGTAAAATGGTAGATGGAGTAAGATCGCCGCCATCTAATTGGCTATCATCTTTCGGCGGATCATCTTGGGAGTGGAATGAAGAAAGAGGACAGTACTACTATCATCAGTTTGCTACTGCCCAACCAGATCTCAACTACCGTAATCCAGCTCTGAAAAAGGAGATGGAAAAAGTATTACTGTTCTGGCTGGAGCAGGGTGTCGATGGCTTTCGAATCGATGCTGTCGTTCATCTATTTGAAGATGAACAAATGAGAGACGAGCCATTGTCGAGAAGACCTGGATTCAATTCAGACGAATATGAGTATTTGGATCATATCTATACCCGCGATCTCGACGAGACTTATGGTGTGATAGCTGAGTGGCGAAAACTTATGAACGATTTCGCTCGTGAGCACAAAACTCAAGCCAAATACGGCATTCTCGAAGCAGGAAATGTTTTATCCCTGAATATGAAATACTATGATTCAGGAATGGATCCTTTTAATTTCATGTTCACTTTGGACATCCACAAAGACACTCCACCAGAAGAATACGTGCAACGTATTCAAGAATTGCTCGCAAATATACCCTACGGACAGCTTCCGAATTGGGTTATTGGCAATCACGATCAACCTCGTGTGGCTACTCGTTTTGGACGAGCCGATCAAATGAGTATGTTGGCTTTGATGCTACCAGGTCTCACAGTTATTTATAACGGAGATGAAATTGGCATGGTCGATCGACCCTTGAGCTGGGAGGAAACCGTCGATCCAGCAGGATGTAACGCAGGCCCAGAAAAATACAATCAACGATCTCGTGACCCTGCCCGTACCCCTTTCCAGTGGGATAACACTACAAATGCTGGATTTTCCTTTGGCCGCAAGACATGGTTGCCAGTTCATGAAAACTACCATCATCTTAACCTTTTGGATCAACAGCAAGCTCCGATTTCACATTTCAAGACTTTTAAACGCATGATAAGGCTAAAACAATCTGAATTGGTGCAAACTGGATTTACCGAAATTAGTACTAGTCTTGACGGACAAGTATTGGGACTTGTTCGAAGATTGCCTCATCGATCTCCACTGGTTTTATTAATCAATTTTTCTGAAGATATGATATTCTTGGACCTTGTAGAATGGATGCATTTGCCCGAACGATTGAACATTTATGCGACCAACGTTGAATCGAACTTGCGATTGGGAGCTACGGTATTTACAGAAAATTTTCTACTGCCTGCAGCAGCCTCCGTAGTACTTGCTGGAGATGATCTTGACGTTTAAAATTGTCCCTAATACCAAATTTGAAATAATTTATAAATCTGTATTTAATATAAAATTTTCTAGTGGGTTGTTGACTTTCAAGTTTATGTTTTTTTACTTCCAAGTTATGTTTAACTAATGTAAAATAATTAAACTATAAAAATAGTAATTGATTTATAGTATTAGAATAAATAAATGTTTTTTACGAATCCTGAATTTTTTCGAATCTATTCATAGATAAACTTTTATTCACACAGTCACGATAACACTGTGATAAAGTTTTTTACAGCTCATGCAAGGCTTACATGAGAATGTATGAATCTTTTTCACTCAAATCTAAAATAGAATCAATGTATTGACATAAACTTTTAATTTTTCAGCCACTATCGGATGTTACAGAATATTTAGCACTTATGCATTATTTAATTATAATCCAACGTAATAAAAAAAATGTGTGCATACGGAAGCGTTACATCGCTGACATAAGCACCGTAAAGCATCATTCAAGTAAGTTTACGGCAAAAATATAATTGGTCGGTATCGTGCAGCATTTGCTAAACTTACTCGGAACTAACGGGGGGCAGCACAATGTAAACTCGAATAAGGGCACGTTACAACCATGTTGTTAAAAAGCTGCTGCACGACGTAGTTTAAAGAAGTTGGAAAAAGTACCTTATAAGTATATAGATCTGCATGTAGCTCTACATCACACCGACATACTTGCACGTTCTCGTACTCGTGGCTGAAATAGCTCGACTTATATGATCTATCTTAAAAAATATAAACTTCTTTATACGTGCATGTGTACGTGCGCGTTCATGTATCAAAAAGTCAGTGGCAAGTAGTGCGCAGTAAAGAAAGTATAAAGTCAATGCACGACGAAGCTGTCATTTCTTTCATACATTATTCGTGTGCGCGTGTAAGTGTGTCAAACGAAAATAATAAAACTTGAGAGAAAAGAGTGTAAGCCACTTATCGTCGCGTGGACATATTACACTGACATTTTTATAAATCTCAAACGTGCACGCACCATCCACACATGATCAATCTCATTGAAAAAGGTGAAGTTCGCGAGTCTATACATATTAATGTTTATATACCTCGTATGCCCGTGTATAATCGTTAAAATCGTGTGAAAATTTCTCCCCGGGTACATTCAAGTGAAAAATGTATAGATATACAGTCGCGCGAAACGCTACCAATCACTTTGAGTGCACATTCTTCAAACATCATCCAGCACGGGAAACTGTCTCTCTCTCTCAACCCTCGAGCTCTCTTGTCGCTTGCACACGTCTGCGAGCACGATAAAAACAGCTGAAACGTGAAAAAAATTATGGAGCATATATAAGTTTCAACCTAAATATTGCAAATGTATATATCGCCTGATGCAGAGTACGAAAGGTACACTTGCTTCCATTTCATTCTGCAAACCCAAAAAATTTAAATGTAGGAAAATAGCGGCTATAGCGTAAATTTTTGCCATTAGTAAAGCATACTTTAATATTAGGCAGACCATTTCGGCGCTATGAATACGTTTTCCCGCGGGTACAGAATTAACAAAGAATCGACGTATGTATTTTCTCTCTTTGCTTCAAAAATTGATGGCTCAAAAGTGCCATTGAAACAAATGAGCTATAATTAGTGACTTGACTTGCTCTGATAAATCTACAAAATTGCTTAAGCTTGACACACATTTTAAAAATAAGTAAATTTATTTATATCAACTGAATATCAATTAATCTCATATTGCTTTTTTTGCAAGTTCTTTTAATTGTAGTCTTTCTTTGGAAATTTTCTGTTTTGGCATTTAAGCTAAAACAATCGAAACATCTTTACATCTATTTATCGTGAATACTATTGACAGTTACATTGGAAGCTGCACTTCGAAGAGTTAACTACTTGAGTAATCCACGACTCTAAAAAAGATTAACCGAAATGAACTTCAAAGCCAGACTCTTGTTACTTAACGTTCTCATGGGAAATTCAAAAAACTAACGATGGTCTTACCTTATCTGCTAGTGAAATCCCTTGAAAAAATATGCCAATAAAATTTGGTTCGCCAGAAAAATGTCATTAAGAAAAGTATGAATATTGGATATTTTCATAAAATTCAATTCAAAAGAAAAACAAGATTAATAAAAAATGGTTCTTTTTCGCAGTAAAGTTTTTCGCTGCAATTCATGTGCAATTGGTAAAGTAAGTTTTCATTGATTTTTTTCTCTTTCGAATTTTGTAATATGACTTGGATGACTAGAATAAAGCTGGAATAGCGATATAAAAAGCAATATTTCGTAGTTGCACGACGAGAAAATGAAAATTGCTCGAGGGCACGCGTTTGTCGTTCGTATATAGTTATAGAGTAGGTAAACAAGGGTGAGAGAGAGAGAGAGAGAGAGAGAGCTCCTCTCCCGAGCGGTGACGACGACTTGTACCTTGCACCGGGAAAATTATAATTTGTGAGTTTTTGATTAATCCTTGTTAGAGTCTATATATTATTACGCGCGTGCACGTATAGCTCTGGGGGTGAAACGAGGTATATCGAGTGGGTCTTCGCAGAATTACACGGCTACAAAATACGCGATCTTTCAGCTCCCGTTTTCCCATTTTCCAGCTACTAAGCAAGCAAAATCTCTGGTGCAGAGTCTCGTAACCTCATACAGGACGATATATTACGGCTCGTTTAGCTATGTGCTTGCGAGCGCACGTGTGTGTATAAGAAGAAATCAGTCTTGACTCGGGAGGCAGAGAAGGAGAGAAGGAGAGAAAGATAGAGACAAAGATGAAAGATATGCTATAGTTCGGCCGAGATATATAAGTAGCACTTTCGGTAGCAGAAAGTAACGGCGAAAGATAGGTACTTCAATGAAAGTTTTATGGAGTTTTATTCCGACTTTTAAAATTACCTTCTCCGCCGTCATTGCTACTACTGCTGCTGCTGCTGCTGGCCCCGCGCACGCTATCGCGCACCACTCGAAATTTTGAAAGTATACATTACGAAGCTTGCAAGCTCGAACTCAATATACTTATATATAGCATCGTGCTGGGGTGTTGATGATCATGCTGCGGCAAGGCGCGGAGCACTTCAATAAGTTTTATAATTATCAAATAAAACGTGAGAGCGCTGCACCACTGGACGGGGAGAAATTTTTATCATTTAAGCGCGCGCGCGTCGCTGAATATTCGCTCAAACGAGCGAGATAGTCTACTGCTGCGAGAGTGACGAGCAACGATTACAGAAAAAAGCTCCGCGAGCGATTTTTATGCATTTTTATGAAAAAAATAGTAGAAAAAATTGAACAAATCGTTGTGCATCGTATACATATACACACATATACAGACGAGCGCTACAGGAGTTGTGCATAATAGTTGAGCCTCAGCCAAAAAGTTTTACGTGTATATCCTCGAAACTAGAGAAAGGTTTCACATGTCATATTGACATTTCCTTTGAATTTCTTTTTCTATCTCTCCCTCTTTCTATATATATCGTACGTACAACTATATGTATATATTTTTTATATGTAGGAGGTGCATTTGTGTGTATGTACGCGCGTGGGCGAGTGTATTTTTTATTTTTGTAGAGTACAGTAGGATTTGTTGAGTGCAATATAATCCAATAAACTCTTATCCCGTGAGCGCAGCTAAACTCGGCGCGCTCTCTATTTTCCTCGTTTTTTCCTCTCTCTTCGCAAATATTAGCGACCCGCACCAATAGCTACTACGGCAGAGATTTTCAGCAAAATTATATAGAACAAAATTATCTTCCAACGCGATAATGGAAGCAAAAAAAAAACGAGTCGTCTCCGCTGCATCTTTCAACAATTTTATTGTTTATCCAGCTTCGGCTCCTGTTTCTCACTCGCCTGCATGCGCAAGCACACACATATACATAAACGTTCGTCACGCACAAGCAATCGCGCGTGTTTTGAAAAAAGCTTCGTTTCTGTCGCGGTTGCCTCTTGCGTCATTGCCGGGGCCGACGCTGGCTGCGAACTACTACATCTACTCCGGGGGCTGCTGCTGGCTAGCCGTGGGGCGTACGTATAGGCGCGGCTGCTTTTTGTTAAGCCGCTTTTGTACCGGCCGATTGTTTCGCGGCTGTTTGAGTCCGGAAATTGCAGAACGACAAGAGCGGAATATTGCTGCTGGCCGTCTATTTCTGTATACATAGAGTACACCTGTGTGTACGTGCGTGCGTGTGTGTAGTGGACGCACGCGCGACTCCACCGGCCGCTGCGCGTCCCTTTCTCTCTGCTCTCTATGCGGCACACGTTTCAACTCTTTATGTACATACATAAATACGTATGTATGTGAATGCGAATGTTTTTATGCTCGTTTCTAATGGTAATTGTATATATATACATATATCTAGCTTGTTTGTGTCTGAATATGTATACGTATATGTGGCATTATAATCCTTAATGTAAAGATTCGACGATGCGCGCCTACGCCATGGCTACGGGCCGGGCGTACGACACCGCTATAATACACACTTTGTAAACATGAACATTAATTTCAACTGTTATTACATTGAAACGCGAGCGGGCGCGCACGCACCCACCAAGTACGTCGACTGCAACTTTTGTCCTTTACTCTTCTCCGCCCAACCACCCAACCCCCCATTTAAAAGAGGCAATTCCGGAAAATTTCGTTTCCCTTTTATATATAATGCATAATGCACGTACTGCGCGCGGCTATACACATTTTGTTCTCGTTCTCTTTAATCCTGAGCGTCGACCGTAAAGTTTACCGTGTTAATAACGGAGAATACGTCCACCTATCAATGTTGATGCAACGACCGAGTCCCGCTCGAATTTTTGTCAATTTCATCGTGCCACATTTAGTTGTAATGCGCTTAATATAAAAATCAGGCAACAGTTCTCAGATTGTTTGGGCTCTTTGGCCGTCACAAAGGCGCGTGTACTGTGCGCTCGGCCGATGCCGAGATTCGAGATTTATATTCTGGGCTCTTTTGAGCTTTTATCTAAGTTCATTAACATCGTTACGTGTATACGTAAATATCAAAGGGCTTTGCTCCGATGTACATTCAAATCGAGGAAATTTTAAATATATATAATGTGCAGGAATCCTTTTTGCT